AGGTCAATGTGACCTTGACCTTTGACCCCAAAATCAATAGGGGTCATCTACTGATCATGACCAATCACCATACCAGTTTGAAGTTCCTAGGCCTTAAAGTTTCTTTAGTTATTGATCGGAAAACCGTTTTTACCTACAAGGTCAATGTGACCTTGACCTTGACCACTTAACCCTAAAATCAAATAGGGGTCATCTACTGATCATGAACAATCACCATACCAAGTTTGAAGTTCCTAGGCCTAAGGGTTCTTTTGTAATTGACCAGGAAACCGTTTTTACCCAAAAAGTCAATGTGACCTTGACCTTTGACCCCTTGACCCCAAAATTCAATAGGGGTCATCTACTGATCATAACCAATCACCCATACCAAGTTTGAAGTTCCTAGGCCTTAAAGTTTTCTAGTTATTGATCGGAAACCGTTTTTGCTTACAAGGGTCAATGTGACCTTGACCTTTGACCCCTTGACCCCAAAATCAATAGGGGTCATCTACTGATCAGGACCAATCACCATACCAAGTTTGAAAGTTCCTAGTGCCTAAAGGTTCTTTAGTTATTGATCGGAAACCGTTTTTGCTTACAAGGTCAATGTGACCTTGACCTTTGACCCCTTGACCCCAAAATCAATAGGGGTCATCTACTGGTCATGACCAATCACCATACCAAGTTTGAAGTTCCTAGGCCTAAGGGTTCTTTAGCTATCACTCGGAAACCATTTGGTCTACGGACCGACGGACCGACGGACCGACAGACCGACGGACCGACGGACCGACAAGTGCAAAGCAATATACCCCCTTTTCTTCGAAATGGGGGCATAATTACCTAAAAGCAAGCGATGGAAATTGAACACGTGATTTTAAAAATGTCCGAATGGCTAATGTTGTCGAACTCTTATCAATTGCCGCTGCGGATTCGAATCATTCTATTGAATTTGAATTTTCATTTGAGTGAGATTACCAGCAATTTAGGGGCTCATTCGTTCCTGAAATAATGCTGAGATCTTCTAACACCTGTTCAGCTCGAAAGTCTTAGCGCTTTTCAATTTTGGAAAATATTTCATTCTTGAAAAACGGAGTTAGCGAATGATTTCAAATTGTGCACACAAGTTGTGGATCTTATATTAAATTGAACATTCATCTTGAAAAAAATATTTCCAGTCCTGTCATGTCAAAACACCACAGTTAAGTTCCTGTAGAGATAAAAACTATGTAAATTGCTTAACTACTCTTTGTATATTGAAACGATTCTTTTAATTAATATACATATTTCTATCACAATAGATAATTAACTTTGTACTTGAAAATTTATATCTGTAGGAATTTTAAATAATGTTAAAATATGTTCTACTGTATGGCTCTGGTTATTATAACAGCCGATTTTCAAAGTTTTCAGTTTTGACGAGGTAATATAAACGTGGAGTGTTGAATGGAATAATGTAGCCGTTTTCCGAGACAAGACTACTTACAATGGTGAAAATATCTCACTGTTGACCTTCATTTAAGTACAACTTATTTGACAATTAGTTAAGGACGTTATTCTGATATTTTCATTTTCATTCAAGATGTAAAATGTGCGATTAATCTTAAGAAATTATGACTTTTCCCAGTAATTTTGAAGACAAAGTGTACGATCGTCTTTTCTTTTCCTAAATAGAATACATCAAGGAGGCAACTATGTTGATAAAGTTTGTCCACTTGAAACAAATTTAATGTATTTATAAGATCTAGATGAGTTATTACATTAATGTCGGAAAAGTTATTTCCTGTCTAGTCATTCCAAGGCACGTCAACTGAGTCCTTTTAAATGTCTTTCTCATTTAAATATTAAAGTTTCATAGAGTTCAGTTGTCGGATAATGTATCTTTATTTCTTATTAATGTGTTCTTTTGTGACTATTTTGACTAAACAACGAGTTTGGAATCTGACTTTTAACCTCCTATTCTGGGAATATTGTTTAACCCAAAATGTTTTTAAAACATCTTATTTCCAATAAAACAACAAAGGGAAGTTTTTTTTAAATATTCATCCATATATACTCAAAATATAGTACATTTGAAAAAGTAGAAAGGTTCTTCAGCGGACCTACCACCAGGCCTTATTTTACGTTCCAGATCTTTGTTGATTATTAACCAATTTTCAACAAATAGAAGTGCAATCCACTCAGAAATGATTTCTCTTTCGAAAAAGACCAGTTGGTACGACAAACCGGAGTACTGCAATATCTCGTCTCATCCCTGTGTACCGGGTAGTTCCGAAGTATCAGCATCAATGATAAAAAAGACTAACATTAGTGAAACAGGGTGGTTGATAATTTATATTACTAAATAAAATACTCGCTGGATAATAAAAAGCTGGTATAATGCCAACGTTTTTGAAATATGTAAATCTTTAACTCGGTTCGTTTATGAATGTATGACTGCATTATTGTTTAATGTTTATGCAATATATATCAGACATTTCATTTCATATGTTAATTAAAATTTTGGCTAAAGCATTCTCTTTTCAGAAAATGTTTTGCTTTACTTTTCGCGAAAGGTTTTTATCTATTTATTCATAATTTCTATTAATTTATTCATTCATTCATTCATTCATTCAAATCTAATACGATAGTATTCTTTATTTTGTTTTACCTGTGACAGAACAAATCAGCAGTCTAAAGACTGCATGTATCCAAACTGAAACTTACAAAACTACTTTTGAAGAAAAATTCAAACCTTACATAAGATATGCAATGAATACATTAACGAACAAAGTGCATTTATTAAGAATCCTTTGTCGGAGATAGAATGCTAATCAAATAACAGCAACAGAATACTTAAACGAGGTATGTGAGAGTAAAACACCCATTTATTTTGGGAAAAAAATGATTATTTAACTTTATTTCCTACTTATATGTATTACATAAGTTAATCGTATGTTTCAGTTATTTTTCTGTCAAAAACAAGAAATTTTCAAATAATTTCTTGAAAAGAAAAGGTTAAATTCGACATGTAACTACAAAATGAATACGTCAAGACTTTTATGTTGACAGGGAGCATTTAAAGAGCTTCTGTGATTCCATTTTTTGTCTTTTATCCTTTCCTTAAAACCATATAGAGTAACGCACTATCTCTATAGCCAACCCCATTAACAAATAATCTGTCACGTGACCTCACAAGGTATTTTGTTGGTATTATTCATTTTATGCTCACATGCATGTTCTAATGGCTTGAGCTAAATAAAGTTTATGTTGTTCGTTGTTGTTATAATGACCTAACTAAAACTAAACAGACGACAAATTTAAATTTGAATTAAATTAATTGAATTAGAATCGTTTTGGTTAAAAATTATTTACCCAAGTTTTTCTTTTACGTTTTATAAATTGACCACAAAATGTACACGAAAGTAGGATTGGTGATTATCAGAAAATAAACTTTGCACAGTAGATACAAAATTTAAAAAAAGTCATATTCTAGAGGATGTAAATCTTTATATAAAAATCTCCAAGAACCGAATTAATCAAACCAGTCTGCTGCATTTACATTTGGCGTTCTATAGGATCCTGTAATCTTCTATTTGTCTTCTTTTTCTATTTTTTTCTTATGTTTTGACGCGAAAAAAAAAGACAAAATTTTTAAAAGGTGATTTTTATCTAAGATATAATCTGAAACAACTAACGACATATTCAACTAGGGTAACAAAACGTGCTAAAACAATTTTAGATCATGTTTATACAAACTGTAGCAGATGTATCATTGAATCGTTTGTTCAAGTGACTAGTATCAAGATTGTTTTTGCGATCAATAGAAGCTTGTTCCAATTTGAATAATGAGCAAAACTCGATTTAAAGTAGATGTTTCAAAAACTTCTATGAAAGTTAAATTGACCATTGAAAAAACTGAATAATTATGAAGAAATCCAAGGGAAATAGGGCCAAACATTATTAAACATTTTAGAGGTTATATTCCAGCAGTGATTGCATCAATTGTTAATCATAGTATTACAGCTAGTATTTATCAAATAAATAAAAAGAGCTAGCGTTATAACTATTTTTAGATCTGGAGATAAGACTGAAGCAAACAGTTATCGGCGGATTTTAAATTTATCAACTATATCCAAGATATTTGAACTGAATATTGCTAAACAAATACAATCATACTTTGAAAAAAGAAACATAATTCATAAGGAACAACCATTCTTGTTATACTACACTTATTAGCTATGGTTCAATCAATACAAGTCATATATACTCTTTATGAGTCGGGAACAAATGTATCATAAAAATAATTATAATTTCAACACAATTTAAAAAACACATACCAATAATATGGCCTTAAATCATGAAAGCTCAAACTTTATGGTGACAGATAATGTAACAATTTATCATACGATAAATGAAAAAGTTCTTGAAAATGTGATAGATCAGAAAATTCTGGGTATTTGCATGAGACACTTACACTTGCAAATTGGCAAATTTTGTAAAAAAAAAAGTAACAGGAAAAACTTGCTTATATGCAAAATTATTTTTTTGTTGCACTTTGATATGAAATTTAGTTACATGTATACATGTACATTGAACATCCTTTCAACTCACATCGCCATAAGATCAAGCTCACTAAAAAAAATATATTATAGACACATTTTTATCAACGCTTGATCATTTGGAACAGTATAACTTTAAATATTCGTATTGTTGACAATATTTCAAAATGTTTTATGGAAGAATTTAAAAAATATCGATTGAGATTTAAATCTATGAAATAATTAATGAATGGATGCACGGACGAACGAAAGAACGAATGAAAAATCGTATGGTGTTAAAACAGATTGTTGGGTGTCTGTCGGAATTGTATGAATAAGTCAATTACTTTGATAATTCAGCATTTCGTTGCAACATAGATTAGGCGTATACTGTTATAGTCAATTAGTCTAGAATTTGTTTCTGGATATAACTTTCTTATGTTCATGTTTTACTATTTGGTATAAGTATGATACGTATACAAAAGAAATGATAACATAACGAACCTTATTCTTTGAAGAAAGCCTTTTGAGAAGATATGTACACGCCAGTCAAAGTTAATCCCTTGAAAATCCTTTCAACTCACAACTCCAATTACCATTTGTCCCTCTTCTAGTTCTATGCGAGAATTAAAAATGATAAAAAAGAAGTTTTATTTTAAAAGAAAAACCTTTTTAGAAAATAAACAATTTACATTGGAACGCATTTAAACTTTTGAAACTTATACAAAGTAAATATCTCTATATAAACTTAAATAAGAGTTGTGAGAAATTATCAATACATTATTATTTTCTACGTTATTTTTCTGATTGAAGATATAATTACTATAATTATCTACACCTATTGAAAAATATTATAACCTTAAATGATTTCGATCAATATATACTCGTTTTATCGGTTTTTGTACAATTTTAGACTCATCACAATGGCTATGTGAACAAAAGAAGCCAAACACATACAAGACATACAAGGATAAGTCGATAATTAATTGAAGATTTCTTTTCAGTTGATTGAAGATTTCTTCAAATGTTGTAATCATTTTTTTCTTTTCAATAAATTTCAATGCTTTTCGGTGGTTTATAAAAATATATCCGTGAAATATAAAACTGATATTTCACTGTTTGAAACAATGAAAACATCAATTTGAATCTTCACTACTTGAATTTATACTCGTTACGGTGTTTCAGTGAAATGCCAGCGTGCACAGTACTGAAAACCAACTTAATCACGTGACGTCGTAAATGACGTTATGTTGTATTATTATTTGGCGCGCTTTTCATTAAGTATTAGGTTATTAAAAGGTATTTTTAAACATTACTTTGCATAATTTTAAACACTAAAAGTTCATATTTCATTTGTTGTTGCGCCACTGGTGAAATATACCTTTTGGTGCTCACCCGGTGAAATATATTCCGATCTTACACTGAACTAAACAAATTAAATATCCTCTATGTAACTTACATCAAACGAAAGAAATATGTTAATAAAATTATTTATTTTTAATTGCAGCTCTTGTGGCATATCTTTATTTCTTTCAAACTTTGACTGTTTTAGATTTCAATTACCACATTTGCCACATTGGAATTTGGTTAAATTTTAAAGTAAAAACAAAAAAAAAACTTCT